GTCTCGTTGCACTGTTTTAATATCAAAAAGAAAACAAACTAGTATTAGTAAACCTACTCTTTTCTTTACCATTGGGTGTAAGAGAATTGAAGACTAAAGTTGGACCTCTAGAGACAATACATAACCTATCTTCTTAAACCACTATGTACTATAGAGGAACTATACTATCATAAATTTCGAAGTTGCATTATATTTACCTCATTCGACAGTTGTACCTTTTGTGAATCGCTAACTAACATGACAAGTAAGTTAAATTAATGCAAACATTAAATAAACGAGACAGTGAGTCCCAAGGAAAATATCTAATACTGAACGTACACACTTATGTATCTTTAATAATACAATCTTTTTCTTTCATTAAGGAAACAGAATGTCTTGGTTTTCCAGTGATTTCTAACATATACAAGTAATAATTTTTGTGAAAGAAAAAATGTCGACATGCTAGTAATATTAAAATATAAGAGTTGGACTATATTACGTTTCATAAATATATCTTATACTAAATGTATTCATTTACTATCGGCCAAGCATGGCCAGGTGGTTAGGGCGCTTGACTCGCAATCTGCGGATCGCGGGTTCGAATCCCCGTCACACTAAAGATGCCCGCCCTTTTAGCTGTGGGGCGTTATAATGTGACGGTCAATGCCACTATTCGTTGGTAAAAGAGTAGTCCAAGCGTTAGCGGTGGGTGGTGATGACTAGCTGCCTTCCCTCTAGTCTTCCACTGCTAAATTAGGGATGGCTAGCGCAGATAGCCCTCGTGTAGCTTTGCGCGAAATTAAAAAAACAAACAAATCATTTACTATCACTTTTACGTGAAACAAATACTTGAAACATTTTGGTACAACATTGTTAGTCTTATAATGTGCTAGACACTTCAAATGTATGAAACTCTCATACTAATAACATTTAATTATTTGTGGGTTTCGAAAACATTTAAGGAAATGTATAATTTTGAAAATAATATTTGAACAATTAAGAAATTCGTTCTGCTGACTCAACAACGTTGATCAACGTTGATCATCGATAACTCAAGCTAGGATCTTAAAAATTTTGGATGTGAAGACTACGTCACAATCTCCTAAAGCATGTACAACTATATCAGATTTGGTGGATGATATGAAATTCGAGAGTTCTTTTATATGTGTTATTAGTTTCCTTTTGGTGGAGCCAATGCTGATAATTTGCTGATAGCAATGACAAGTAAATTTGCAAACTACTAAGGACGACTGTAAGATAGAAATATGGTACTTAAATTATAAAAAAATGTAGGCGACAACTAGGTTTGAAAATACACCTTACTTGTACTTGTAGATACGAAAACCTGTCTTAGTTGATTCTTAATGACTAATAAATATTTACCCATGAAAGGTAAACAAATAAGAAAAGGGCATTTAGACACTTTAATTGGATTTCACAGATTTCTCCTATTTAAATATTCATGAAGTATTTTATCAATCATTTCAACAGGGGAACATATTGTTGCGTATCTGCTTGTTTGTTAATTTCCTACTTTCCGAGAAACTTCAGCGATACAAGTCCTTTCTTAATTAAAACTAGTTTATTCTTTCTCGATACAACTTTGCAATACACAGAATTTTCATAGTCACTTTAACTTAACTACTTTTATAAACACACGCTATAATTTACGGTGATTCACACACTTTACTTACGTGCCTACTGTTCGCGTGACTCAATTATCTCTATCTTCAATCTGTCTGCACAACTCTATATCGCTGGCTTATATACTAAAAAAAGAGGGCATCTAGCAAACACTGGGATATTCGTGTGGTTCCCGATAAGTCACTATCCTTCTAGAAACTCCAGCGCACATGCTCCCAGCGTCGCGTTACTTCAGCTGTCGTAACACTGCCCCTTCCTTAGTATTGTTTGTCCCGAACAATAGCCACTTACATTAAACCAATAGATAATTAACAATAACTTGATTAAATGTACAGAATTTAGAAACACAAAATTAAAATTCAACAAAGTCTCTTAATTTTACAGAACGTATCTTCTTCCGTTCTGGTCTCCCTCTCATCTGCTTCACGTGAGGTTCATCTGCTCCATCAGGAAATGTCTCATTATCGGTAGCAGTCACATCAGTGTTAGTAACTTCACCAAGAGCTTCACCGTTTCCCTTCTCCAAACTGAGTAGAGTTTCTTCTTCGACAGTGGCTTCTTCAGGTGGCACATCTTCAGCAGCGTCATTTGTTCTGTTGTCCACTTCGTTCCAACTGAAATGTCCTGGACCATGATAATGCCAATGCCTGTTGGCATGCACCACCTTTGGCTTACCTCGCCTACCACATTTTATTCGGAAAGTCACGTCTGGGAGACGATCCACTATATCATATGGGCCTTCCCATGGTTCAGACAACTTAGGAGACTTCCCTTTGGTCTTCCTAGGATTATACAACCACACATTGTCTCCTGGTACAAACCTGACTCCAGTAGATCTCTTATCATTAGATAACTTCATCGAATCAGCAGATGTTTTCAAGTTTGAACGCACTTGATGGTGAATATCATCCATCCTTTCTGATAACACTTTCAAAAACTCTGACACATTTTCAGGCAACTCTTCATAAGGTGGGCATCCTGTTATCAGATCCACTGGCAACCGAAGTTCCCGACCTAACATCAGCTTTGCTGGAGTGCATCCAGTGGCTTCATGCTTTGCTGTTCTATAGGCCATCAACAATGGAGGGAGTAACACATACCAGTCATCTTGGCGACTATTACAAAACTTTGCCAATTCCTGTCTAAGTATCCAGTTGTACTTTTCTACTATCTCTTCGGACTGTGGGAGAAGTGGCGATGTCTTGGTCTTTCGGATGCCAAACAACTTGCAGCATTCATGGAACACAGCTGATTCAAAATTATGGCCTTGAACTGAATTCAGTTCATATGGCATACCGAACCTGAAGAAGAAATCACTAATATCCGAAGCTACAGTTGTAGCTTCCTGATTTGGTATTGCATATGCCTCAGGCCACTTGATGAAATAATCCATCACCACACAAATGTACTTGTTTCCAGCACGAGTTTGGGGCAAAGGACTAGCAATGTCAATGACTA